TTTTTTTTTTTTTTTTTTTAAATTATAACTTTCAAAAAAGTCTTGGTGTGCAAAAAAACTGTTTTTGTTTTTGGCACTATTATTAAAGAAAAACAGTTTTAAACTAAGTTTTAACTATTTTTGTGTAAGTCTAAAAAATGTTTCTTTTCGCATGTGTGCGTGTTTGCGTGTGTGTGTTGGTCTCTTTTAAAGGTAAATGTAAATTTAAAAGAAATTTAATCTATTCTGAGCACTTTTACCTTTATCCTTTTTCATTACTGGTAAAAAACTGTTACAGTTTAAAACCTAAATTTTTTTGCTTTTTGCAAACGAACGTTAAACTTAAATTTTTTTTTTTTCTAGCATTAATACAAATTACTAATCTTTACAAATAATTGAAGCAAAAAAATTAATAAATAGATATATATTTCTTATTTAACTTTTTTTTTCTATCTTTTCAAAAAAATAAAATTTTGTGGTTGCTTTTTTTTTGCAGCTTACTGGTTATATGTTTAGTGGTAATTATTAACTATAAATGGATTTCTGTCTTGGTCGGAGAAGTAATTTCAGATAGTCCCATATCGGCAGGTATCGGCTTTCTTTCTTCTATTGTCTTTTTGATTTTTTAACTGCAGTTATTCTATACTTTCAAAAAAAAGTATATGGTATTTGATAAAAAGCAGAATTTTTTTGTCTTTTGTAACTGATTGATATAACTGCAATTTTTGTAGGAAATTTTATTGGGATTGCCAACCCAATAAATTTAGTCAAGTCGCTATCGAACGTTGAAGACGAGTCAAGCAAACACGAATTTGGTTCTAAGGTTTTCCAAACTCAAGTGTTTTCTTCAGTATTGTAATTTTTGTTTTTTTTTTTGGACTACATTTGCACTTATTAATTTTATCAGTACTTTATGTACATTTATTTCTGACTTTTTACTGCTTTTTAAGGGCTTTCCAATATTTGAACCATCTCTACCTCTAAATATCTGCTTGGACATTATACAGTCAAGAAACAAAAATGAAGTGGTAAAAATTTATGACTTTTTCTTTAACCTATCTTTGTCAGGACTATCTTTGTTACAAAAGTTTTTTTTATAAGCTTTTTCTTTTTGAATGTTTGTAAGTCTCTCAAAACATATAATAGGTAACATGCGAATCATATTCAGTTGAATTTAGTTTTTCTTTCTTTTTTCGGAGTTTATTTTCTTTTTTAGGAAATAACAAAAATTTCTGATAAAGAAGACGAAAAAATTGAAGTTAGTTGCAATCAAGTATGGAGCCGGGGAAACTACACCAACATTGGCAACGAAGATTTTTCGATAGCTCATGTTCGAATTGTCTACAAGGTTTTTCCTAACAAATCATTCACATATTTTCAAAACACTAATATTTTTGGTGAACTATTTTTAGGACTATCACCTACACGAACTGATGCTTTCTTTGCTTTATTCGTCTACTAATGTTTTTTGTTATTCCATCGACAGCAAAGCCAGTGCAGTTTTTAAAGAACAAATGCAAAATTTATCTACGTGCTTTCCAAACGTTTACATTTCACCGATACAGTACAATGTTGATAGTTCGGGTCACAATATGGATCGTGCCTTTATCTCCTGCTTCTCCATTATTCGTAACCTATCGTATTGGCAATACGCGACAGTAATGCAGGTAAGATTATCAACTGATCATTTATTTTGGAACTGAAGTTACCAGCTCAAAGTACACACAAAGGGGTCATTTAATTCTCAGCTTTTAGTCTTGCTTTTTTGTTAAGCATTTTCAATTACAGAATCATCATTAAAGCATTAAGAAAACAGGTTCCCCAAATTTTTTATTATTATATTTTTTCTCGTAGCAAGCTCATGAAGAATGTGAGATTAAACGCAATTTACGCTGCTTTCCGACCCAAATTTTTTAAGTGATGACTATTAGTATATATTCAGTAGTTTCTGGTTGAAAAAGTAAGGAGCTACAGCCAGGTGACAAGAAAATTAACTTGAAAAAAGCATAAACTTTTGAAATCAATTTTTTTTTACTTTATGAAAATAAGCCACAGAAAATAATATTCTGGTTTTGGGTGAACAAGTTGATAAAACTGTTTTGAAAAAATTGAAGAAGATAGATTTTTGATAATGGAATGAGGCAAAAATAACAATGGAAAGGAAAGTGGAAAGTAAGAAAGAAGAACTGGAATCTTAAGTGTATCCTCCAGGATAAGCCATTTTACAACAGCATTCTAAAAAGATGTCTTCACTTGCTTGTTTTAACCTCAATCATTACTAATTTGTAAAACAGCAAAAAGCTATTCAACATTAGCAGATTTTGAAAATTCATTTCTATTTAAAAAAGACTGTAATTTTTCAAAAGCAAGTTGTATTTTAAAAAGTTTTAAAGCAGCAAGTTTGTTCGTTTAAAAAATTTTTAATTTTGCTCTTAAAAATGCTTTTACTTTTATTAACAATGCAATGTTGGTGGCTGAGAAAATTTGACAAAGGAGTTATCGTCTTTAATGAGAACTATTAATAGTATTTATCTCTAGAATTACGATCTGCCGGTGAAAACAGATAAAGAGATGCTAAGAATTTTGAAAGTACTGAACGGAAGTAACAGTATCGTTTTACTTCCTCCGATAAAATCACGGGTACCAAAACATAAAGACTGGACATTCAAGGCGCTGAAACTTTTTAGAGGTATCCTAAATTCTGTTAATAAGTAATTGAATATCTGGAAAAGTTGTCTGGTAAATAACAAAAAAAGTGATTATTTTATAGCATCAAAACAAGCACCATTTAGCTTAGTACTTCGTCCACTAGTTTTCTAATAATCTACAGCGCAGTTTTCTAGTTATGATTTTCAGTTAGCAGTATCAATTTCAGTAGGCGTAAACAAAAAAAATTTTTGTTTAGGTACTTCTTTCTTTTAAATTCAAAGACATCTAATTAAATGCTCTGTGAAAGACAGTTGATTCATTACTAAAAAAAAATTTTTTCCAAGCAAAGAGCTACTCGTTTCACAACAAAGTTGTACCATCAATAGTATTATCATCTTGGAAATGCAATTTTGCCTTGAAAAAATAAGTTCCAATTAAGCGAGAATGTGAGAGGCAGCACAAGTCTGCTGAACTATTTAAAATACCTGTTGATTCGGTTCGCAGAATGGTATTAAATGTTCTGAGCAGTGTCGGTAGATCTCACTGAATACACATAATAACTGAGGGAACTTCTGATGATTTTCTGGATTCTATTACGCTGCAGTTTGACTCATCGTCGAACCTCTAGGAAGGCAAAGACTGTTCCATTTGAAAAGCCTTGAGTGACACAGTACCAGCAATCAAATCGAGAGGTATTTCAACAAAAGCATTGGCTTGCAACGTTTTTGAGAAGCGTTGGTTTACTTGGTCAAAACATTTTTAAACTTTACCACTACTTTTCTTTGTCGATTCATGAGGAATTGGAAGTCATCCACTACAGTTACCAGCACCTAAACCGACTTCGGCACCGATTTTTATTGAGGCATTCTACTTGATAAACTTCATTCCTCCACTTTCTGTGGTTCTTTTTCATCATTGTTAATCAATAAATCCTAACTTTCGTTTTTCTATTTGTCATCTCTTGGAATTTTTGTTTAAAAATCACTTCAGTTATCACCAACGATAGCAGGTGTTGATTTGTGAAAAAAAAGTAAAAAATTTGCTACTGTTTTTTTTTTGGCTATCTCAGAGAATCAATGATCGCTGCTTCAAATAAGGAAACATCACTTTTTCATTCAAAAAAAAATTTAACATTTTTAAAAATCAAAAATTTTTAACACTACAAGGCATTTGCAGAAAAAAATTATTTTTCAAATGACACTTCCGCGGGGTATTTGTCTTTTTGCATAATAAATTTCACTTGCACGTTCTGTTTAACAAAATGCTTTGGATTTTTTATTTCTGTAAAAGAAGAGAACGTCATTTCCAAAAACATCACTTTGAACAACAATTTTAGAAATTTTTGAGAGAACAGGTGCTTTATTTTATTTTTTTAAAAGTGAGACAGAATATAAATTTGGTTTACTGGCACTTCCTTACTGCTAAAGTTACTAAAGCATAAAAGTTAGGCTTTTTTGTAGTGGCTTCACTGTAGTGGCTAATTTCAGACACTTCCAAAAACGATCAGCGAGTGCTGCAAATCTCTAAAGGTAACATAGGGTCACTGCTTTCAAGAAGTTTTATCGAATTTTTAATTGATGATTTAAACCCAGAAATATTTTTATCACGCCTCGACAAAATAAGATATGGAAATGATGAAATGCTATTACCATCATTGAATTCCGACGATAACATCAGTTAGTTTAAATACTGAATAACTTTGAAAAAACTTAGTAATAGATAAATGAGTCTTAATCACGTAGCAGTTTGCTTCTCTTTTATAATTTAAAAAAAAAAAACATTTTGCTCACATTTATTGAAGATTCGAAATATCTCAAATCAGTATGTCAGAAATATAATAAATACTGAAAATTTTTTTATCTCTGGTTTAAAATGTTTGGTTCTACTGTTAATGAGCAGCAAATCTTTAAGACTGATTAATTATGTAAGAATTTTAGATTCACCAGGTGGATTTACTAGGCATTGCCTTAAAACTAACAAAGGGTATATCGCAAGGTATGGTTGCTTTTTGCATATCTTTTTTAAAGACCTAATAACTACTTTGGAGATAACTAAACAAAACAAACAAACAGTATTTTATGTATTTAATACGCTGTTAAAATCTCATTGGCATTTCCTTAATTAATATGGTTTTTCTGATCATTGTTGTCGACAGCAAAAGGAGTAGAAAACCCTCCCCACTAGACTGTGCACTTTTCCCAATCAACGCCTTACCAGGATTTCCTCTAAACTTCATTAAAATGTTCAGAAGTCTAGCTCTAAATAAATAAGGTTGAAAAATTATCTCAGTAACCCACCTTGGAGAAATTTAGCACTTTTCAAAAGTGAGAAAGATAGCAAAATTTGACTGTCCACAACTTGTAACCTTATTCATTTCTTACAGAAATAAATGTCTGCAGAATTAATTTAATAACACAGGCACATACCAAAGTCTTCTGAAATTTGTTTAGGTCATAAAAAAACTCAAAATTTGCACTTTAAGATAGGTTACAAGATAACACTTGACGTTTTAAAAAGCTCTAAGAGGTTTTGCATCAAACTTAGGCGGCTTATCAAGTTGTTCACTGCAATTTTGGAGTTACAGAAACTGGAAGTGCCAATATAGTTTCTGCAAATTTAATTTCTGTCTGCCCTTCATGACTAAATTACGTATCGTTGTCCTAATTTAAATATTACTTAATCTTTCAGAAAGAAAAAATTGTATGTAGAATGTATTTTCAGAAAAATTAATAATGAGGTAATTAATAGCCGACTTTGAAGTGATGACGGTTTTGCAATTTTTTAAATTGAGAAAGGCGAAATTCAAATATTTAGCAAAGACCAAAAAGTCAAAGTTTTGGTTCAAAAATATTGAAATGCTTAAAAAATGTAGATTTCAAGACTCGCTTTTGTTCGGTCAAAATTTGTTAAGCTTCATCATTTCGAGAGGGTGACAACTTTTTTCAAATTGGACCACCGAAGGTGTAGTTTCTGTTTCACGAATTAGAGTCCAAAATCTGCTATTAGGCAAAATTTAAAGAAAATTAGATTGTGGGATTCAGTATGCAGTAGCTCTAAAACATCTTGTGGTTGAAAGCAGCTACATACAAAAATTTTCTGTTCCTCTTTCCTCTGATAAATAATTGTTGACTTTTGACAGTACTTTAAAAAAGTCGCTCTCAACATTTGTTTTGGTATTGAGAAGTCCTCAAGCGCTGCGGTGTTTATCAAACCATTATCTGATTATAATAAAACAGATATTTTACAATTCTAACAGATTACTTTTTATTCCAACTACATGGTCTTCGGAAAGGTAAAAATTCATTATATGAATCACTTAATTTAAGAAAAAATAAAAGCAACCAAAGCCTAGCGAACGTCTCTGCAAATCCTAGCTCTTTTGAGCCGACGATAAAGAAAACTTTTACATTAGTCAACAGTTCATTTGAACTAATTTAAAACTCATTTGAACAAATCGTTACTAACATTACAAAAACACTTTGTTCAAAAGGGTTCAATTTTAAATTAATAGGATGCACCATTAATTTGTGCCTGACCTACTCAAATCTATGATGCCTCTTCTGATAGTGAAGAAACTTTTCTGATAGTTTTGCGACAACCATTCTTCAGAAGCAAAACGAATGCCGTACAACATAATGTAAAATCATTTCTCTTTTAACTTTTTTACATTCCGTTGTAATTTCAGATTTGTTTCATGGAACTACCACGGTCAGCCATGTAAGAGTAACCTGCATAGACACAATATTTGCATATACGGCTATCAAGATCTTCCTATGTTTTTAAGAAAACTTCATTTTTTTGCTAACAAACTGATACCAGCATACGACTACACAGCTATTGCATGCTGGGCTAAATATTTGGCTTACCGATCCACAATCGACAACCATGAAGAATCTATAGATGTTGAGCAGTACTCCATGATGCCGAATGTCCTGTTTAATAAAAATAGAGATTTTTGGCGAAGAAATTTAGATTTATTCGACTGTTCCACCGGAAAAATGGTTAACAGTTCAAGCAACAGCACCTTATTGCAAAGTTCAACATCGCCAACCTCACAAGACAGCTCCAGATTAAGTACTGCGACAGCAACAACAACGTTTGAAGTGACATCATCGACACCAACATCGACAATCAAAACAGTACCAACAACCTCAGCAGTGAGTACAGCAACACCAGAAACAACGATGTTGACACCTATCAGAGATTCTGCAGTTGATGACATCTGGAATGGGATAAATATTTTTGAGAATTGAAATTAATTTTATTAGTT